GGCCGCTGGGGTGGAGGCGAGTCCGGTCGGCCTGGGTTTCTCTGGTGCGGATCTCAGGCCCCCGGGGCGTCGGGCGCTGGGCCTGGGAGGCAGCGGGTGGGTGGGGTCCATCCAACTCTGCCACCAGGTATTGACCGGAAATTCCTCAAACGGCAGAAGCCAGGGGATGAGGAAGCCACTCGGCTTCTCCAAAGCCCCCTCCGGCCTGGAGCTTTTCTGGGTACCTGACACCCCCCACCGTGGGTTTCTCCCCAGCTGGCCGTGCTGGGGTGGGTGCCAGCACCAGGCCTATCACCCACTGGCCCTGGGGACCCTCCAGCCGCCTGTTTACCAGACAAGCCAGCCCTGGAGTCACAGCGGTGCCCACAGGGTGGGGGAGGGACGAGGGAGGGACAACAGATGGCGGAGGTGCTGTTGAACCAGAGTCTGAGGCAGTTAGGGAAGGAGAGAAAGGACTGCAGGGCTGAGGGGGCTGGGACCTTGCCTAGCTGCTGTCCCCAGGCTCCTCTGTCCCCACCGTCTTCATAGGGACCTGTCCCAAGCTTGTCTAGAGAGGCTCCAGACCCGACACTGTCAGCCCGCCCACCCTCCTGGGATGCCCTTGAGCCCACCAGGTGTTGGGGAGGGGTCCCCAGGAGCCTGGCACGGGCAGCCTGAGTGAGTCCCTGCCTGGGACTAGGGCTTGGGCAGGTTGGGATCGAGGGCTGGCAGAGAGGCCTCTGGGGGTCCAGCTCAGCACCCACGTGGGTTCCAGAACCTCTCTGGACTTCAGTGTTTGTAGTGCCAGCTGCAAAGGGAGCCACCCCCCCCCTTCTGGGGACAAGCCAGGTGGCAGGAAGGAAGCAGGTGATGCAGAGGCCAGCTTTGGCAGGTGGGAAATCAAGAGGTGAAGTGGCTGGGGCCACCGAGCTGGTGAAAGAAGTGCCAGCCCTCGGTGCCAGAATGTGGTGCACACAATACCCTTTGGCCACAAAGTGACCACACACAGCTGGCCCTGGTGGCTGCGAGTCTGCTGTCCCCTGGAAGGGACCCTCACTCAGCCACCGCTGTCAGTCTCCCACTGGAGAGAAT